ATACAACAGCGGGGATTCGCTGGTCGTCACCGACCCAACTACTAATCCGCCGGTTAGTGGCTTGACTATGGGAGAGCGGACGGGATCCCGTATTCTCCACTACCTTTGGTCGTATGTACTAATTATACTTGCGAGAAGAATTATAACCTTAACATCGTCTCTCACCTCAATTACCTGCCTAGACCGTTTACTACCACTTCATGATGTTATCGTAGAAGACATTGTTTGTTTATTGGAGCCTGGCTCTGGTCTCCACAGTAAGCATTTTATTGTTCCCTCCCTCTTTCTAGCTGGGGTTTATTTCAACTACGCTGTGTAGCTTTGACAGAGCTTGGCGGCATATAGCAAAGTCGTCCAGCGTAGCATGGCGGCAATCTTGGATATGGGACATGGCGATTCTAATTACTCGACCTTTCTCTGGGAGGTGACCGAGACAGACGGGACCGGTCTGTTCCCCTTCTATTCACTGGTACATAGCAAATGAGCCACCTCCCACTCGAAACAGGCAAACTTTGCAACAACCTGACGAGCTGAGTGAGAGCACATAGCCTCATACACGTTGGTACGAAGTTTCTGACTCAAGTAAATATCTACTGCACATTTTCAACCCACCACTGTTCCTTCACTAGGAAATCGAATGAATTGTCGATGGATAGTTATAACGCCTGTCACTGGCTTAATTGTAGCTGTACATATCCATAGAGGACCGTAGAGTTGCGGAGCAGAACTCTTGCCAACGAACAAATGTCGGCATAGGTGGACGAGGGAAAAAAACGACACTCGGCGTTATTAGTAGAATTCGAAACATGCAAATGCTCGCTTCGGGATACGACGGAATCACTGCACAGCAACCGGGCCGTCTTTGCCTCATTGTTATTCGGAATAGTCAGTGGATTCAATGTATGCAGGTCAACTGACGGTCCGGATCCGCGCCCGCAGCACACCGGCTCGGAGGATCTGGTAACTTTAATCTTCATAAAATTTGAGACGAGGCCACTGGTTCCGTTGTGCTATACTTTATGATGAGCAACTGACAAAAGATGCCGGCAGGGAACAAGTTGCGGGTCAGACAATCCAATGCTGAAGACTGAGACATAGATGCAACATCATCACGGGCAGCACATGATCAACCTCGTGGGGGATTGGCGATTGTTACCTACCGGCTACTGACCGGCAGATCCGTGATTCGATGTGACGTATGGAAGATGTTTATGCTCCAGTCATGCTGTATCTATGCCGCCATATGCTGTTGAAGCCGGAAGAACTCCACTGGGTCGAGATCCCGAGAAATACGCAGTGGAGCTCGGTATTTGGCTGGACCGTGGAGCTTAGACCCTTGAGCTCTCCATAATTGATGCAGAACCGAGTGAGGCTCAAAGAAATAACCGTTAAAAATAGACCCTGTTCTGTAATATCAAAAATGGGCGACAGGACGGCACAGCACGTAGCAGAATATTGTGCTCTTCGCTCAATGCATCTTTTGTGGCGAGGTTTTCTTCCATTGGCTTTGTGCTGTAGCGGTCAAAGAAATGAGAAGCAAGACAAGAAGATGATTGAGGGGTCCGAGTTCAATGATTGGCGGGCTGATCGTCTTCTTTTTAGGAAACCAGTCAAGTGTTGAATCGCGTGCAGAACGCGGGGAAACAGAACTTTACTCAAAAGGTTTGAGTGTGTGTACCTGGAAGCTTTTTCAGCCAACATCAGTGAGACACGAGTGTAGCAAGAGGTTCTGACTGTCAGACTGTCCTGTCTAGTCTGGATAGTACAGTGGTATTGCGGAGAAAGCGGAAAGTGACCGAAAGGGTGCAATGCAGAAAGCGATATTGAAAACAGAATAATCGAAAATTTGCATTTGCATGCTGTAACTGGTTTCGTTGTCTTTTTGGTGGTGTGAGAATGAAGGGCTTCTGAGACAAGACATGGGGCTGGACGCACATGCATAAGAGATGTTGCGGTGGTGCCACAATAGTCGGAGCTTTCCTACATAATTAGAGTGGTTCAGTGACTGAGCATCAGAAAATAAACAAAAGCTCCATGGCATTATCGTGAGGTGTTGGTAAAGATGGATCTTGGACAGGCCACGGTGAGGTCATGGTGGTGAGACTAGAGCGGATGCCCCCACTGTTGACCGCCAATGGATTTTGCCTTGGTCGAATGTTTGCGGGTTCCTGCGACTGACGAAATACATAGTAAGAGATCTGATTCTGGGGCAGATTCAACAGAGACCCGACTCCAGCCGAAATACTATGTAGGTTCCATGATACTGAAGTTATTGTGAATTTCCTCTCTTTGAGCATTGTCTTTCCGAGACCTTCAATGTTGCATGTTGCTCAGATATTGCCCAGAACACATCAATGCTCATTCTGGACTAACTTGATTGACTTCAAACTGCAAGTACGCACACTCGAATATCCAATCCGAACCTTTCCAACCCCGCCATTTCAAGCTCATCCCGCATGTCGTACCACACCCTACCTACACTCCCGCGCCATCCACAGCTTTCCCCACTTCACCCTCTGAACCTAACTTACTAGGTGTACTTACAGGGCTTTGATCTGCTGTAGATTGTTGCTGTAGAGGCAACTCTTACCGGTCACTAGACGCCAGACACCTGATCGCAGGTGATCGGCTTCAGTGCCGCTCCAGGCCTTGGCTCTTCGGGTTAGGGTCACCTACTGTAGCAGATGGATCAGAATCTGGGGCGCACTCACACCCCCGCCCCACTGTAGAATCGGCCATCCCCATGCCCCAGAGACATGTTTGTCGTTCGACCTTGGGCATCTACCCGACTAGGTCACCCCTACTATATGCACCATTCCATTCTTATCCGGGTCCCTTAGTCGGATATGAACTTGACTTACGTTTACTGTTGCATATAAAACAGAAATCAGGAGAGACTTATATCAACGGTCTTCCCCTCCTTCTCTTCCCCAACGGTTTTACTTGCCTGAGTTTCCTCCTCCCATCAATAGACTAGTTCGAGTACGGATTATTATTGCCGAGTTGCATTTGCTTTACTGCCTACCTACCTACCTCGACAGTACCTGCCATACCTGTCTGTTACAGTACCACCCTTGCCAAGTCAAGTCCTAAAGAGAAACCCTTCGTACCTTCCCTCTCTTCTCTTCTCCTCTTCTTTCCTTCCTCACGATGATGCGTGTTCCTCGACAAGCATTTTCCACTGCCGCCCGTATCCACCCCAACATTGTTCCTCACCTTCGTCCCCAGAGAAGAATGTCTTTTGGTAGATGGTAAGTATCTGGCACGCGGCATCTGCTGTACTGCGCACATTTCACTTCACATGCTGACCACTCCAAAAGGGCCAAGCCCGTCGCGGCTGTTGTAGCTGTTGGCTACGGAGCAAAGCTCTCTCTAGAGATGGTCGCAACAAGACGTATTGCTCAGATGGAAGCCACAGAGCGTGAGAATGCCGCCTACCGAGAGCGAAACGAGGCCCTCATGAACATGTACGGCGACAGATCAAGTCTCGAAGAACTCGAAAAGGCCGTGCAATTTTACGAGAAACGATAAATGAATTTCACGCAAAACCCGAGACAAAGAAGAAAAAAAGAACCAACCCAAGCTGAGCCGGGCCGTTAATGGTCATGCCCTTCCTTCGTTATATCTGTTTGAAGCGACGGCGATCACCCACTCTCACGGAGATGTGTCGGAGTTTATATTGGCACGGTTGCCATCACGATCTCAACCCTCGAAGCATTGCATGGAACGGCGTTAAAAGGAATACCATTTGTTTGGGATGATTGTTTGGAAAGACAAATCGTCCACTTGATTAGCCACACGATCCCGATATTAATTTGAGGGGACACTTCATCGATACTAAATAATCAATGTGTCGACGAGAGCAATCCGTCATCTTGGATATTACACGACCTGGTCATCTTGACGATAGACTTTGGCGTATCGAAGATCGCAATACAATACACAATACTCTGGGCTTAGAAATACCCGATTTACAACAAGTCACATTCACTTGTTCATTCAATCCCTCCGTCACTCATTCACTCTGTGTTGTCTGCTCTTCATCCTTTACAACTATTATTCATTCCCTGTTTTGTATATCTTGCAGTCCCACATATCCGTCCCCATGATGATCTAGACTTGGACCCTTACCTGAATTTTCTTTGCCTTGAAACTTCACCTTCAAACGTCATGAGCCTCGCTGGAACACAGGCCGAGGTTTCCCGCCGGCTAACCTACCTCAATGTGTCCGAGCGGAAGGCCCCACTCCCGATAACTCAACTTAGCCGGCTCCAGACCCGAAGAGCCCCTATCAAATCGTTCCAACCACTTACATCTGACGTTACCGCGCCGCGGTGATTGATGTCCATTACGTCCTGGCTTGTGCCGGTGGTCATATTCCGCGATATTATACGACAACGATAGCAAAGCTTTACCAAAGATTTTGTCGTTTGGGCCAGGTTGTTGAGTTTAAGCCGAGAAATTTCTGGATGCAATTGAGTAAGAGAATCGGAGTGTTGGCGTGGGGATAGATCTTGGTCAATCAGCTAGAGGTGATTTCGAAGACATTCATATGAAGTAGCCAGAAATATACAAAGAAACAAACGGGATATCGCTACTGTGCTACATTAGATCTGGTGACATTTGTGAAGATCAAGGCACACCAATCATTTGGCTTGCCGATTCGGCAATCTATGCCGCCGTGGCTCTAAAGTCAATCTCTTTCATGTGCTCAGGAACGCCTCACTGTCACAGAAAGCTTGACTCTCAGCATAGAAGACGAAATATACATTTGTTCCATATAGGCCTGTGTCAGTTCTCAGTCAAAGTTTCCCCCAAGCTCATCCTTCAAAATTTCTGCTACTCTCAAGCATGATACATAAGATCTGTCTTCTTGATGCCAGGGCTGTGCACATCTCGCACCTCCATTTTCTTGGCGAAACAGGAACCTAAGAGATGAAAATAGATACTTTCTTCTATCCTAGGATTTCCTAATAGGCAAAAACTTATGATAGTCCGATGATGGAGGTGCGGGATGATTATAGCCAGGGCATCAAAGAGATGTACCTGATCAATGGACTTGCGGATATCGATTCAGATCAGAGTTATCCGTGTGAGAAAGGTATATCTCAGTGATAGACAACTTGCATAACATTGGATGCTCGAAGCGGCGGGCATGATCCTATGGCTATAGAGCATAGATGTCACGCACAAACTTCGCAGGCGTCAAGGTCAGAATTGGCCGCCGAGAACATAAGAGACGAAATAATTTGGTTACCTTTTACAACCTTGGACTAGCACTTAGGCTACTTTGTATTGGCGCCCTAAGCCTTAGACGACGATTCTTCTGACAAGCCAGCATATCAAATGTGAGTGTCGTTAGTTTATTCCGATAACTATTTGCTATCGTTTCCCCCGAAGCTTGTGTTTCGCAAACACGTAAGTAGCATATCATCCTTTGGGTATCTTAGCCTATCATAAATTCCATTTGTTCGTACCTTTCCTTCCAAAAAAGAGAATGCCGCCCACCGGCTCCAACTAGCAAAATCGTTCATCACGTTATGCAGCTTCTGGGCCCGACAATTCCTTGCGCTTGGTGCCCTTGTATCGGGATTCTAGCTCTCGAAGCTTCATAGCAAATCCGCTAGATACAGCAGCGACGAATCTTGGCCGGTCCATCAGTTCTGCAACGTTATTCATCCAAGCCTTGAAGCTGACGCCTCCGCAGAAGAAGTAGACCATCTTCTCACCCATCTCAGTCTGCCTGTGCTGCTCCATATTCAAGACCTCGTATCCATCGGCAAAATCTCGCATTATAAGCTTCTGCATCCCCTCGTCACTTTCGGTGCGGTACAAGGCGCGGTGCCCGTCGTACATGGCGACGTTGAGGCAGCGCATCATGAATTCACCCATTGCGTCACTGGCGAAGAAATTGCAAAGCTTAAAGACCTCGATATAGTCACGCATAGGAGTCCTGGCGGCCATAGTCTCGGGGCTTTGGGCAGGGCGAGGAGGAGTGTGAGGAGCGATCGAGGAGTGACTGTATGCGAGGCCGATGTATAGAGCGAGGTATCTCGATTCAATTTTTGGGTCGTTGCTGAAGTCAACGATCCCTTGCTTGGCCTCGATAAAGCTTCCGGTAAGGCATTTTTCGAAATATTCTGAGTTTTTGGTAAGGACGCTTTTGGCAACGTGAAAGACCTCTGATTTCGCCCTAAGCTCAACCATCTGCTCGTCGCTTCTACACATGAAGATAAGTCAGTAAAGGTAAGTAGGTACCTAGGTAATGCCTAGAAACAGAGCAAATGTACTCACTTAATGAGCCAAGAGGTGCGATAGTCGGTCAAAACGGTAGATTGCTGCTCCTTCTCATCGTCCTTGGGGATTGCCTTGGTTCGAGGCTTCTTGCGAGCGGGTTGTGGCATTATGCGTCGCTACGATCGCGATGCATCGGGTGGTGTTTTGGGGAGGTTGAAAAGTAGAAGAAGGCGTCAGGTTGTAGATGAGAGGGTCGTAGAAGAGGTGACCGCTAAAATCATAAAAAGCCTAAGAAACGAAAGGATTTAGACACTTTATGTGAACTTAGAGTAGCAGTTAGGCTATCTTATTTTAGATCCCTAGGCCTTAGGGGATGAATCTTCTGTTACCTACCTAGGTAGGCACCTGCCTACCTTGATACCTAATAAAGCCATAGATTTTGCTCAAAGGGCTGAACCACGAAAGGCAAACACTGTATATAAGTGACAATGCCTCGGAAGCAACGTCAACAAAAGTCTTTTAAGCAGCCGAAGCCTGTCTGTTGTTTCCTGACAATGATCACAGCACTAGCAAACGAGGTTCACTTGGCTCTCACTCGTTTGATAGTTACCTTCTCGTCTTCAAGGTCCCACCCGACATTATCCTTCTCTTTCAGCTCATTCCATTTTCGACCCGTCGATAACTCCAAAAATGTCAAGTCCACGTTGAGATACGATCTCCCAAAGCATTTCAACGTGTGAAGCCTTATATCATCATCCGCCCACTCCATCAGCTTAAGGCAGTGCCGATTAACCTGTCTCTTTGAAACCTGCCATGAGACATAGTTGTCATGTGCCAGCGCCTTGAGTATGGTATCCAGCTTCTTGTTCCGAATGTTGAAGTCTTGTCTGATGAAATACGCCTCTGTCAAGTCCCTACGTCGACACGCAGCGTCCAGCATAAAATAACCTGCAATTTCCTCAATCTCACTCTGGACCATGGGAGTCCACACGGCCATGTAACGGAGGAGATGCAGAATTGCTGGATGATAGGATTCAGGGTGCTTAGCGAGAATGGATAGGCGTATGGAGAATATATAGGCTTGGATGGAAAAGAGATCAGCCCTCTTCGAAGCCACTAAACCTTCTCGGAGCTTTCTCAGTGCCATTAGAACATCTTGTAAGGATTTCGTGTTATCAGGGTCTTCGATGGCCGCCAGCATTGAGGTAGTCGGACCACTGGAAGGAATTATCGCTCGGAGGGCCTTCAGAGAGCCCGCCAAAGCAGATGAGGAAGAAACTGAAGTATCCTCTGATGATGAGCCAGCAGTCTTAGAGGTTCCTGTGGTATCTGTGACAGATGGAGAAGTCGTTGTTGTAGCCGTTGGAACGTATCCAGGTGGAGGCTTTGTATACCGTGTAGCAGGAGTCGTATCGACTGTTCTGATGTCGAGGGCTTCGAAGCTCCTTATGATTGAGTCCTTGTCACCTGATTCTGTGCAAAAGGCAAGGAAACGTGAGATAATCTGGTTGTAGTACCATTCCTGTGTTTTGTGGTTGAGTAACCTATTATGATCAGCTTGCCATTGCACACCAATGAGCACGTCAAAATGAATACCAACCTATCGTCTCCTTTAGAGGGAAGACCCATATCCTGCAATGGGTCCAGCTCAACAGGCTTCAACCTTCCCCAGGGCCCTGAGGGCATCCTGCCGCCTCGGCCTCGACGGGGCATATTGTGTTGGGTTTTGGAGCGCGTTTGGTGCCAAGAACGGTCAGGGATGAAGACAGAAGTCTTTTGATGTGTATCGAAAGATGTAGCTTTTAATGAGTCACGCGTTACTCTAGGTTATCCTTTGAGGTTGTGAAGCAACACATAAGTTGTATGAATCAAGTTGATGTGAGTGTGAGAGTGAGGTCGATAGTGGGGTAACTTTTCTGTACCCCACGATCCACCGTTGGCTCCTGCGTCCATCATGACAACTCTACCTACCCTTCACTCTGACTTGATAGGAAGGGCGTGCTTCTTAATATGCCCGGGTATGCCAATGCGGTCATCAAGTCTGGACAGAGACACCCTTATCCGTCCGATTGAAGTGGCATGCAATAATCAACTCATGAGAGATAATACTCCAAATAAGTATCTATAACAGAAGTGCATTGACTACCGAATTATCAAACCGCTTTAATCTAGGCCACTGCCATTTACAAATTCTTCTCGTGGGTATCATTATCGTCAAGAAGCTCTTCTTCTCAACCTACCTCTCCAATTACGACCACCAAAAAGCAAAGATCAAGGACGCTTGCTTTAGCTGTGGATACGATCGGCCAATGTTACCTTGTCCCAGCCCTTTGGCCCGGACGCCTCATACCTACCAGCCTTCGAGATGACTCTTCCGAGACCCTGATGAATCTCAGCCTGGAACGGCCCAAACGGACACTTCTCGCCGTCGATGCTGATGTAGCCGTCGTCCTGATCACGGGGGATGATGCGATACGCCGAGATCTTCTTGTAAGTGACGTGAGGGTTGTCGAACAATCGCTCAGCTCCAACGTCAAGAAGGACCCTGATTGCGGTGAGGAAGGGCAAGTTGCCATCAATGGTGACCAGATCCATCAAACCATCAGAAATCAGTGAGGCGGCGAAAAAGGGAGCATCGGGAGACATGTAGGCCATCTGCAGCTGTCAGTACTATTTTCAAACCAAGTTCCTGCCAATCTACTCACATTGCCGGCATAGAAAGTGCCCACATTGTCGTAAGGGATCATCTCCCAGCCTTCAGGAAGCTCGTCCTGGATGGTGCCGTACTTCAGTTCTGGCAGGCCAGCATCGTCGGACATAGATTGCGACCCAGCGCTCTTAGCCAGCTGAGCAAGGCTTGTGGTGCTCGCATGATGCTTGTAGTGCGCCTTGACACCTTCCTTCTCCTCAATCTCAACCTTGACCGCCAGGTCAAAAGGGTAGCATTTCTTCTTGTACATGCGTTGCACAACACCAACTTCGAATCGCGCACTGCCCATCCAACGCATGTTCTCTGTGCCAAGATCACATTCTGCGATGAGGCCCAGGCTCTGGGAAAGGAAAGATATGATGCGGTTGCTACCAGAGGTAACTGATACCAGATCTAATGGAGTCACGATACCTTTGATGATAGCCAGGGCGGCAAAGGAGGGATGATTGGAGCCGTATAGGTTGCACGAGAATGCATTACCTGAACCGCAAGGAATGTGACTGACTGCCATTGTAGACAGCGCTTTCGCAGCATCGGGTCGCTTGGCAAGTCCGTTGAAAACTTCGTGTGGCGTGCCATCTCCGGAACACGCCATGATGGTATCGTACCTCGACAAGTCGGCATTTTGTGCCAGCTCAACAGCCTCGCCGCCACGCTTGAGAATGACAACATCGAGTTGCATTTTAGCGGCGTCGAGAAGTGGCTTCACCTCATTCTCCCATTGCTTGACAGCCTTTCCAGGTCCAGAGTTCGGGTTGACCAATACATAGGCGCGTTTACGAGGCGGCGCATCACCGTAGGCGTGCGACAATAGTGTCTTGACGAAAGTTTCGACCGGAGTTGCGCTGTTCTCCTCGTCCTCATCGTCGGTAGCGAGTTCGAATTCCCATTTTCCGGGCTTGATCAGCTTTTTCGAAGCATGGATAGCGTAGTCGATCGTAATGTGGTTGTTGGCGAATTCGGCCCACAGCACGTTGTAGAAGGGGATTGTATCCTTGGAAGCTCCAGCTGAAAGACAAAGCGCAAACAATTAGTAACTCTTCTGTACTATTGAAACTCGCCATGAATATCCTTACTGCTAGTGAAAGGAGCGCAAGAAGAGCGACCAGCTTTCTTGGCAACAGGGTCTGGTCATGGTCAGTCAAGCTCGCCTTTAATGTTTAGTAAGTTCGCACCATTAAGCTCCAAGCCTCCGACACCGATAGTCAGTTTTTTCTTGCCCTCCAATAGGAGCTGCATTCCGACGTCTCCATCCATCTTTATAACAATGTCTGTAGCCATTGCAGGGAAGAAAGTTCAATAAGTTTAGCAGATGATCAATGTTGATGAACGTCTTGAACGGTCTTCCAAACTAGAAACGGGCGTATAGCGTGATATAGAAAGAAAAAGAAGAATGGCTGGAGTAAAGAGCGACCACTGATAGTAACCAGGATAGAGGAAAGAACGAGAGTATGTGAAGCGCGGTAAGGAAGGAGCGTTCGCAAGTTAATCGATCGGCTTACGCGGAAGCCGTCTCAACTTCCAAGCTGGGTGTGATGGTGTAGGATTCGCGATCCGCGGGGCATGGATCCGAGATTAACTAGAGGTCCCCCTGGTCTGTTCCCTTCAATCGCCCTGCATTAACCCCCCAGGCTCAAAGCTGACAGCTGCCGACAGCTGGAGCCAACCCACTCACCAAATACTGGATACCTTAGTAGGTACTTCCGAGGTAACAAATGATTAAAGTCTTGCAGCTGCAACGACACTGCCGTGTTAGAGAATATATCAAACTGCGTGGGACAGGCTGCCCGACGAACAACCTAAGTATATAAATCCGTCACCCTCATCTGAAATGTGGTTTCACGGAAGGAGTGTCTCAAGGGCTTATCTAAGACTGACGGCCACAACCCTCCAATCGCGTATCTGCGATGAGACTCAAGGCTTCTTTCTAGACGATAATGTATTTTGACCAAGACCAATAGCGCATGCTTATTGTACAAGATTCTTTGCTTCGACTTTTCCGCATGTTCCCAAAACTCCTTATCCCATCATCCTCTGAGCTATACCTTGCGCCAGTCTGCCTATCATCATCGACATCCTCTTTATGTACCCTATCTAAACTAAAACAGAGGCACCGCGAGAAGATAATCGTTGGTCCATGCGTCTATATGTCCTGATAAAGCTAATATCTTTCACTAACATGCATCCCATACAAATGTTGCACCCCCCCTTAGGTTTTTGAGCATCATGAAGTGAGAATCGCTTAAGCAAGTCTTGTCACGTTAGGGAACTTCTGTTGAGCAGCCTTTTTGTACAACTCCTGGGGGCTCTTCCAGCTCCTGAGCACCTCAAGGCCCTCGATGGCGTCCTCATAAGTGACACCAGGGATATCCAAAATGTTGGCGACAGCCTCCTCGCTCTTGGCCTTGTCTTGACCCAATAGCTTCTGCACCTTGATGGCAGAGAGAACGTGTCTAGGGCTTTCCTTGTTGGCTGCCAAGAATTCATCGTTGTACTTAACCAAATCCGCGGAAGGGTCTACAGCGTTGAACTCGGCCTTTAGCACCTCAAGAACCTTAGGTTCAATGTCGGTTGCTGTCTTAAGCAGCTGAGCAAAGGCCACGGTCTGCTCGTGCACTCGGGGTGACTTGGAGTCAAGTGCCGATGCAGCTGTAAGGCAACGGAGAGCAAGAACGTACTTCTCTACAATCCCAGTGTGTCAGTAATTGGGGCATCGAAGCCAGTGGCGAAGGGCGAAGAACTTACTGCGGCGCATGTAAACCTCAAAACCAGCGAATTGAGCGTTAATGTTCTTGGGGCTAAATTGAAGCAGAGGATTGATATACTTCATAGCATCACCAAGAGGGTCAGTAGTATCGGCCAACTTCAATCCAAAAGGATCGTCGTCTTGTTTCTTTACCTCTCCCTCCTTGCTAGCCTTGTTAGGATCCTGCTTAGCTTGTTGCTCAGCAGCCTCTTTCTCCAGACGTTGCTGCTCCTTCCTTGCCTTCTTGGCAGCCTTCTTCTTGGCTAAAGCATCCTCGGCGTCATTACCGTCGGCACCGTTGACGCCGTTTGCTGAAGGCTTGTCAGCGAGTTTGAGATAGATCTCAACAGCATCCAGAGCAGCCCGAGAAAAGAACGGATGGTCGCGAATATGATCCTCCCATCGCATCATATCAATGTAGGCGCGAATCTGTCCCTTGCGAAGAGAGAAGCTGTGGAAGTCGAACTGATCTTCTTGCCACACCTCAAAGATGGTGAAGATTTGCTGGAATCGCTTGAGAGCCAATCCAATATTGCCTTGGCGCGCGTATGCTTCGCCATCTTCTGTCAAGAACCAAATGCTCTGCATTTCCAGGAGATCGGCTAGAGGGCCACCGACAGTCTCCGCGCGAGTAAAAAGCCCAACTGTCTTGAGACCCTTCTCATTCTCGTCGTTGCGAAGTTGGTATTTGGCAGCCTTTGTGTTGATGTATCTGTCCTTGAGGTCGAGCTTTCTGGCTCGGTCCATCGCCTTGGAGGCTTCTTGAAGATCACCACCATGCTTGATGATTCGTGCTTTGGTCATGGCGTAATCAACACTCTTAGGGTCCTTCTCAATCGTCTTATCAACGTACTCCATGGCTTTCGTCAAGTCACGGCTGAGATAGTAGTTATAGTGCTGCGCAAGGTAGTAGAGCGCGGCCGCCTCTCCCTTATCCTTGCTCTCCGAATCAGCATCCTGAGAGTTCAAGTAGTTCTCGGCTAATTCGCGAAGGGTGTCTTTCTTGAAAGAGTCGGAATACAGGTGCTTCAGGTTAGCAAAAGTGGATGGAACTCCCTTGTTAAGCATCAATGTAAGGTAAGCCTCGGCGGCTTGTTTGAAGTCATCGCCTGTTTTTGTATCAGTATGTGTAACTGGCTAGCAATTGCGTTGGGCTTACCAGAGAGGAAGTCCAACGGTAGCCGGCGCGCAGCATCGCACCTAGGCGACTTCTCAGCGTACTCATCGTAGACAGCCTTGCGGGCTTTGATGTCGTCCTCTGGAATCTCCATAACCTCAAGAAGCTGTTCGTAGTAAATAGGATGCTCCGAGTTACGATCTAGCAAAGCGCGGTAGGCCGCCACGGCCTCCTCCTTCCTGCCTAGTTTATGGAGATACTCGGCACGAGCCTCCATAACAGCCAATCGATCGAGGTTTTGCTTAGCAGCAGTGTTCAAGTGCTCAAGCGCCCGTTCGTAGTCCCCTTGTTCAGCAATCAATGAGTTCTTGTACATGATTGCTTCCGAATGTTCGTTGTCGAATTTCGAGGGCTTCGTCTTCAATGTTTCCTCGTAAGTGTTCATGACCTTCTCAGCTTCGGCGGGGTTACCGGAAAGATGGTGGGCGATAGCGAGCGCAGTCCAGCTTTGACGCGCTTGAGGTCGGGCCTGGAGCATAGCAGTTCGACTTTGGATATAGCCTTGGTAATCGCGACATTGGATTTGCAGAATGGCCAGGTCACGCTGGATTTGTGCTGACTCGGGCTCTAATCGGAGAGCGAATTTGTACGCCTTGATAGCCTCCTCGAAGTTCTTGTTGGCCCGATGCAACAGACCGTAGACGTGCCAACAGATGTGCGACTTCATGTCCATAGTCAGAGCCTCCTTCCCTAGAGCGAAAGCCTCTTCCGTCTTGCCCTGCGAATTCAAGATCAAAGCCTTCATGGCAGTGGTGTCTCCATGCTTAGGGTGCTTCTTGAGAATAAGGTCGGCAGACTTGAGTCCACGCTTGTACTGCTTGTCTTCATAGTATCGGATGACGGAACGGAAGAGCGAAGCCTCCTTCGAGGCAAGAGGTTGCGGCATCGTGTAGTCGGAGCGTGGTTCCAGTCGACGGAAGTCTAGTACCTAGTTGTGAAAGTGAAAGTTGGAGTTGGTCAATTCAACTTCCGCTGTCGGCAATCCGACCTCTAGGGCTGGATGAGGGGTGTGTGGGTGAAGGTGACGGGAGGTTCAAGGAAGCTTTGGCGGGATATGGCGACGATACCTCACCAACGGAGGATGGATGATAGAGGCGAAAAGAGATAGTGAAAGGGCAAAGAGGCGGCTTCCCTGACCGGCAGTATAATTTACAGCTGAAGATACTGTAACATGCGACCTTGGCTACCTATGAAATGATGTGGACAGGAATTGCTACGGTAGGTCGGTAATTTCTCGGAGCTCTGGTGGGCTGCATGAGATGGTTTTTGGCGGGGCAATAGAATCCATGACAGCACACGCCTCATGAGTTGAGTTACAAAAAGAGAGCAGTGGCCATGTTAACCAATAACAATGCGACTACAAAGCCTGGGAATTGAGCAATTGAGAATCGTCCTAGGGTGTAACAAACAACATTTCAAACGTATCCATGATTCCGTGAGTGTGAGAAGCTCCCAAAGATGTATAAGTGGCAGAAACCGTCATTCTCAACTTGAGTCCCTCTTCAATAGCTCGTTGGTGGGTTACGAAATACACGTAAAGGTGTGACCAAGTGTATACAAAGTGGTTTACTTTTATATTATTGTTTTTGTTTTAGTGCTTGTTAGCATAAGGGGTGATGGTGTTGTACACATGTCGTACCTAATCATACAATCTGCCTCTCATCATAGGACGAAGTCATGTTATGCCGTGGCTATACAGATGGATTGGAATTCTGTGCTTTCCTCCATTTGCTGATGGTATCTTCCCAGCTTTCAAAAGGGTCGCCCCCACATCTTTGCTGCACCACCTCCCATGTTCTATGTCGCACGATACCCTCTACGCCTCTTTCTTGTCTGACAAGCGAAGCCAAACGCTCGGTACGGGCTTCGCGGGGGAAGAATCTGCCGGAATATGGATCTAATCGTTCATCTACAACTCGGTCGCGATCTTGCTCCTTTTCAAGTTCTCTTATCGTACGGTCTGGATCATCTGGGTCCGGACTTGCCGCCACCAAAGCGCAATAATTCAGGACTTGTGTCCGAGCTTCCCATGAAGGAAACAAAACCTTCTCTTTAAATTCCAAGCATGACTGAGGGTCGATCTGTCTCGAAGCTGGCCTAGAGGTACGTTGGGAGGTAGAAGAAGGATCGAATCCAGATCGTGATGGCGTCAACAGTGCATTGAGATTCTGGGTGATTGAATCATCTATTGACGATCTCGAGAGCCTCAGAAAGTCTTAGCCATGAGTCAGTAAGCTGTACATATGATGCGCCTGTTCATCTGAGTTGTTCCTACCTCGTAATATGCCATATGAAAAGCAAAATTGTGGCGTGAGCTGGGGTTGCGTTGATGGTTGAGTCATGATATAACTTGGTCGCAAGGACTTCTCTTTCTGAGTGTCCGGCGAGCCGTTCCAGAGTATTCCAGCCAGAGTGGGCAGGTTTCTAGATCCACGATATTAAATGAATTCGATATTGCCGCTGCTAGCGTACTAAGCAAAACGTGGCTCGCAAGGAAGTTGAAACAAAGCCTTGTCTTGTTGACCGTTGACTGTCGATGATAATAGTAAGAGTCCCAAGAGTCCCTTACGTCGACCAGTAGCTGTTGGTTCTGTGGCCCGACCGTCTCGACTTCTGTGACGCAACTAAAAGGCTTAGCCGGAACTAAGTCGCGGCTGCTTGAACCCGGGCACTGCGGATAAACCTTGGCTCCGCTGACCCCTTGATCCATGCACAGATCCCCCAGCTTGATCCTGGTAAGTCCCGATCAATCACTGCACGATAGAAACCCTGGACGTCCAGCTTTTTCTCTCTGGTGCTAATTAAAGTGCAAAACGTGCAACGACATAACTAGACGTCAAACCGTGGTGTTCGGTCACCAGAAGCCGCACATCTAGAAGCCATGCCGAAAGCAAAGCCGGGCCAGGAACCGGTGCAGCGCCAAGGGGCATATGCAAAGTGAGGCGGTGGTCCTTTTTTCTTTTTCTTTTTCTTTTGCTTTTGAGTTTCAGGGTCCGCATCTTGAATCGCCGCAGCACACTAGAAATCCGGCATCGATTTTGCCCGTTGAACCAAATGGGCCACGATCGATTCGTAGGGATACGCTATCGTTACTGTCGCCCCAGACGAAGGGGACGTAAGCTGGGAGCATACCGCCCTGCCGCTAGGGCGTCATTTAAGCATTGATACTTTAATCCCATTGACGCCTCACCGTTTGGAAGCTCGGTACAAGCTTTTACCAGGGTCTCCCTGGCCAAGCTGCTTCAGCATGATCACGATCAAGATCAATCGACAGAATCTCAACAACTGCTATCCAGTAAAGATGGAGAGTCAGAAATATTCTGGCAAGTGGACTCTCCTTCAGGCTAAAATCGCTTGAGACTCCGAAACTGCCACTTTCGATAAAAGACGCAACAGGAGCGACTCGCGAATATGCAGGTGTAGACGCCACCGTTGAGACCCGTCTGTCGACGCAGCCCCCAGGCCAGTCATTCGCAGCCCGTTCCAGGTGGTGATCGGCAATATCCCAAGCAGTTGGACACAATGATTGCTTTTGGTGGCTTATCCTTGGCCGGTTACGCTAAGTTCAACGCCCGGGATCCCATCTGCCACGAACCAACGCTAAAGAACTTGACGCTAGGAAACACCAAGATTGTTGGCTGACAATACAGTACAGCACAGTCTGATGCCGTGCCAGGAGCCGACTCGCTATTTGGCTCGGCTCTTTGTGGTCTGTGGATTATCTGACCCTCATATGTGACGACGATGCGCAGCAAATAGAGCGTGGGCCATCGTTAATCTGTCTGTAACTCTGCGTTACGTCGAACCTTCATCCGTTTTCTGTGGACGAATTTGGACACGGGGAAAGCGAAAGCACGGGCTAGATCCGCTCATGCTGCAGGTTCTTGGGAGTAGCATGCCTGCAGCCGCCGAATCGTACATTACCCCCCCCCCCCCC